AGAGCTTAAGTCTTAGGGCCACAGGCGGGGTGGCTGGCTGTTCAGCAGGAGGAATGGGTTTTCAACAGAGAGCCTCGTGTTCCACGTCCTCCGCCACCCGTGGCTGCCCTTGTTTTGTGGCCTCTTTCAGGGAAGACGCCGGGTGACCTGTCTCGGCAGTGGTGGGAGCAGGGCCTCGGCCAGGCCTAGTCCTAACCGCTCCACCGCGCCCTGGCCTCCATCTCACCCATGCCCCGAGACATCGCCTGCAATTCATTTTAGGGACACGGCCACATAAAAGCCACTCTCCAGGTGAACGTGTTGGCACTGATACAGCCCAGAACCCAGACAAGGAACACACGGAGCGAGAGGAAGTATATTAGCTGGTTTAATTTATTTAAGAATCTTACAAAGAAAGAAAACCAAAGGAAACAAAACAAAACAAAACAAGAAAACCCACAACAACTAGACACAGAATTTGTTACGCTTCATGGTTGATCGTTTTTCCTGGCGAGGTCAGCCTCGCTCAATGCCGCCCGATACATTTTATTGCATGAGACCCAGTTGGGAGAGTTACACGTCAGAGCGGTGGGAACAGTCGTTTCCGGACACCGGGTGGGTCCTGGTTACCACGAAGGCTGGGCAAAGCAGTGCAGTATCAGAACAGTGCGGACCTTCACATACAGACGGACATTCACACGGAGTAGCCGTATCAAAGGGGAGACTTAAAAAAAGAGAAGGAAAGAAAAACAATGCCAAGAGTTTACATCCACCTTCATTTTCAAATTGTCTTTGGACTCCATCGTGTTGTCTCAAGACGCACCATGTCGGGTTAGCGAAGGAGGAAGGTCTACACTTACGTATAAAAGTATCCTTTGCTCAGCGGAGGTAGAACCTGGTGGAAGTTTTATTGCAGAGATACCGTGGGCCTCTTCCCACCTCCCGGGGTTGATGGCAGATACAAGTGGTTATTGAAAAATAACATCAGTAGTTTGCAAATTCAGTATAAACCATGGACAGGATGATTTTTGTGTCTGATGAGGAGACGTCAACGTGCTACGTAGAAAACAAGCTCTCTGCCCCCCAAGGTGGAGTCAGAAAGAAGGTCAAGCTTCTTTACCCTCTTCAGTGCCACAATGCTGCCGCAGCAAGAAAGGCCCGGGGCGGGGCTGGGGAAGCCGGGGTGACCTGCAGGCCTTGGCTTCCCCAGGCTGGCCCCTTGGGGGACTACACTAAGGGACAGCCTCAGCCTGCCTGCGCCCTGCCACGTCGCTGCTGAGGGCATGGCTGCTGCTGCAAAGCTCGGTTCAACCACTCGGCCCCGGAGGACAGCTGGCGAGTGGTTGAAGGGCATTCATGCCGGAGCATATCCCACAGGCCCTGCTCCAGGACACACTAAGTCTCCCAAATGCAGAGAACTTTGACATTTTCAACAAGTCTACCAAGTTCAACAGTAATGAATGAAACGTGTTCACGAATGAAAGGCCCATGAAATGCTCATAAAAACCCACTGCTTGCCTCCCAGGCGACGGACCCTGACAAGTGGGTTCACAAGTCACCCTGGCCTCCCTGCTGCCAACACTAACCATTAAGGAAGCCTTGATCCAGCTCAGCCCCCAGGTGTGTGGCTCATTTAGCCAGGAGCAATTCACCAGCACAATGAGGGTGACAGGACTGCAGGAGACCCTACAGCCAGCCCTTCCTCAGTTAACTGCCTGGCTCCTGGAAGCCTCCACAGCAGTTTCGTTGCTCTCTTTGAGAGGAGGACACCGTTCCGTAATGTGCCCTGTCCAATGCCACCTGTCACCACATACATGGGCTGCACTGGGCTTGTCTCCGTCTGCTGCCAATCTCTCTATCAGGAGAGAGCAGACACACGTTACCTGTGCTCACTGCAAGTACATCTCTGATGATCCCTGTCGGTTAGTAAACAGGCCCAGATTCTTGGAGAAACACGGGACATTTGCAGCAGCAGCAGCAGGACACACCTCAGTGTGCAGGTCTACAGGCTCTTCCCCCGCCCCCGCGGGAGGGCGCAGGCCTGAAAAAGCGCAAGGCTGCAAATGGCTGGGTTTGCTGCAGAGCTATGTGTGATCCGAATGCACTGAAGAAGTTAGAGGAGCTTAAAGGAAGTCTCGGGAAGAATTTTTCTTTTAATGTGAAAAGATCAGGCTCACTATAGCTTCCAAAGAGCAACATAAATGAGCATAACTAGTCATATAATGACAGTATCAGAAATTGCACTCAAGTTCACCCCTCCCCCAATACAATGCATTGCACACAGTAAAAATTTGTAATAAAAATGCAAAACACAATTGCATATTGGAAAATATTAACACAAAACACACACTGGAATTCATAGCAAAGATGCAAAACTGAATTCTAAAATATGTGAATGAATTCAACTAAGAAGTTTTCATACTTTTCTACATTAAAAAAAAATTTATACAATGCCCGCATAGGAAGTCAAGAAAAGAATAAATAGGATTGAAGGTAAAAGGGGAAAACCAGTTGGTAAGGGTCTCAATTTACAAGAAATATTTACATTCAGAATTCGAAAGAGCTCAGCATTTCTATATACACACTTATGTACACATATATAAGTACAACATGAAATGAGAAGGTGGGTCTCGATTTCACCTCGAGGACTCGGGAAAGCATGACTAGCTAGCGTGAGTGGCAGGTGTCTAGATGTGCTTCCTCCACCTCCATGCCCTTCCAAGACACTGCTTTTGTATTAGACACTGGCAGCCAATGAGGAATTTCTGCAAATGGATTTTGCTCACAGCTGCGGCTAGGTAGGCATGGACTGTGAGCTGCAGACTTCGAGTAGCCAAGTGTGCACAGTGTGTGTGCACGGGTGTGGTGTTAGCGGGGAGACCCCCGACACAGGGAGCGGAGTCAACAAGTGCCCATCATCCCAGTGGCTACCACTGTTAACCTCGAGGCCTGAACTGACCAAATATGTGGTAACGGTCCCAGCCTAACAGCGACTCTCAGGCAGCACCATTCTTAGAAACTACTGAATATCCCTCAAGTACATTTTAAAAACCAGAGTGTTCAGACAGGGACCTTCCTCTTAATCTCATATCAAGAAAAGGCCCCGACAGGAAAATACGTGGCCTCTGCTCCTACTTTTATCACCTGGGATGCATCCATCATTTCTGTTCTATCGCTTTTCCCCCTCTTGCTCAGCGGGAGGGAAAGGGCTCCCGTTACACAACTGTAAAAGCTGAGCGGGTACCCTCTCTTGTCAAGCCTGCCACAAGTTGTCTAATAGCATCACAGCGATTAGCGAATGAATGCCCAGGGGCTCCAGCCAGGAAACTGTCTCTAAAAGAGGCTGTTTCCCTGGAGTTTGGTAATCTAGACCTTTCACTTTTACGGATGAGGCAAAATAAAACGAAAAGGTACATTGTTGCAACTCAAAAAGGTTTTTGAAGTGCTAAGTAATTGGACTGCAATAAATATATATACATACACGCACTACTACATTGCTTTGGGTGCAGGATCTTGCTAACTTATATACGGGTGTAAAGATACTGACGAGGGAATCTGCAATTTAGCAGCAAAAAGGGAAAACTGCTTAGGATATTTACTTTTTGATCAAGTTGTGTTTAAAGTACTTGGTTAATACCTTTAGGAATTCACACCATTGACACCTATCTGGATAACCCACCAGACCGAAGATAGACCTTGTAGTACGGAGGGTGCTAACTTAAGGGAACACGAATTCCCCCGAGGTCCTGTCTGAGCAGCTCTGGACACTGTAAACTCTGAATACACTCCCGTGGTTGAAAGGCCAATCTTTGTGCTCAGAGTCTATTGCTAAAAGGGAGAAAAGGCATTGTGGAGGCCACGTGGACTCACAGAGATCCACGGGCTCTGGGTGCAGACGGGGCATTCAGATCCTGACATACACGGGCCTGCTTCAGACTCGATGTTCTGGCGGAGGAGGACTTGAATGCTGGGTTTTCCCATATTTGGCCAACCTGAACTTGCTGACTTGGCTAAGGGCACAGTGTAAAGGTCATATGCGTGCCTCCAGGAAGGGGGATGGGCAGCAGGCTCTGGCACGCCACCCCATGCAGGGGGTACAAACGGCACCTCAGGCCCCTTCCACTTACGCTGAGTACTGCCTTTTTGAGTCTACTCTATTTGAATTTTCAGAGGCCTTACTTCTGGACCTTATTATAAAAAGCAAAACGAAGCTGTTCTACCGAGAACAGAACATCTGACTGCCCCTTTGCATCAGGTAGCTATTCCAAGAGCAAACATTACATCATGAACCATGAGGCCACTATTGCAGGCTAAAGAATCCTCATCCTGACGCTGCCTGGGAAGCACGGTGACCTGCTCCGTACCCATACACAGAACAGGGAACCTGGCCTACAGCCTGTGTCTCTCTTCCTCCCCGACCCAGCCGTTCGGTCGTACTGGAGGGGCCAGGTTGTTAGGCTTCCTGTCCCAGCTGTTTCACCTTAGCATGGGGGCTAGTTTAAAACAGACACCTGGGAAGGCTGCTGCAGGTGAAGCAATTCTGCTCTGGGCTGGGGTTGATCTAGTAGCCCCAACAGGGGATTGGCCAACATTCGTGTGGATCACTGCCTGAGATACAGGGACTAGACTGAAGATAAAAGTTGCATCCACTGGGCAAAATATGCCGAAGAACAGAAATTACTCTCCATTTGTCTCTTAGGCATCAGGAATAAATGAATCCAAAGAAAGCAAACCTGTGGTAAAGGTGACACAACTGAACTGACAACCACTCAGGCGCGAAGAAACACAAGAGGACAAAAGCCCAGCTTGCCACCACCATCACTACCTCACCTGGCTCTGAGGCATCTAAAAGGTTACAAAGGAAAACAACTCAGCCGGACAGGCATTCACAGGTACTGGCATCTCACCCCTCAACACCTTCTCATTCTCAAACCCGAGACACGCTGAGCAGCGCCCGAGTTCTGCAGAACCCCGGTCAGACTACCTCTGGAGGTGGTGGGGCCTAAACAAGAGTCCACTGCTGGTTAGAATAACAACTTTTTATTTGACATCTACAAGATGGTGGTATCTTGCAGCTTTTGACCAGGTTTATACAATCTCAGTTTTTCAATAGTGCAACCTGTGCAAGCAAAGAAAAAGGGGAAAAAAGGAACAAAAAGACTAATTGTCCCCTCACTTGTTTTTATAAAACATCTATTATAGGTGAAACAAAACTTACCCATATTATAGATAAGTGTCTATTCACATTTGTACATTACCATTTTTAACAGCTTGAGATAAACTCTACAATGTCTTACAAACACATTAAACAATATTCAAGTTACTAGGTAACAATAATAACAAGAAATAAACATACAGCAGAAGCCTCAAGTGTTTCCTCATTGTCTACTTTACAGCTCAAGTATGGTTTCCTTTTTATGAGCGACCAACATACTAAGATAATAAAGTAAGAAAAGATGATTTGCAAAATGGAAGCCGAGTTGTCCTTCTTTCTAAAACTATCTTAAGTTAAGGAAAATGGAATTTTGAGAAAAAGCAGGCTTGTAGCCGTTTTTGCAGCACTCATTAGGAATACTATTAATACATTAAAATTAACTTTTAAGAGTTTTATCACACACACAAAAAAATGTTTGTACTTATCACCTTAACAAGAAACCTGGGACAGGGAGAATGGGGGTGGGGAGAGGAGTCACGGGGTTAGAAGCAATACGCAGGTATAAACGTTATAAAAATGCAGTGACCAATGCTATACACCTACAAATGTTTCTCTCCGTCACATGACATCTGTTAATCTTGTTTACGCATGCTTTCAAAGACATGCACTGTCAGAACAGAAACTAGAAAAGAACCTGAATGTGTGATGTGCAACCTTTCGTTTCATGCTTTAATAGACCTAGTGTTTAATAAGTTGGAAAAAGAAACCAATATATATTTTCTATATTTATAGACCCAAAACACATGCATCCGGGGAGAACTCCCACAGCAATGGCACGGATGACCTGCGTTAACCCTGAGCACTGTGGAACATTAAGTAAAGCCAGTTGGGAAGTTCCAAGCATTTTTAAACCAATTGTGGTTCGTAGCCTTTAACAAACTCACAAACAAACAAACAAACAGACGGACACACGCACGCGCACACACCCCTCTGCTCCCCCAAAGTAGGAGCATATGGGAAGTACCATGGGCAAAGCAAAAGGAAAGACATATGTACCACCATCGGCACTGTTGATTTTCAGTTTTGCTATCTATTCCAGGTTTGTCCTTATTCCCCAAAAAAATTAACTAGAGAGAGCACAACTGAAAAAAATTATAATTCTTTGGAAACTGTCCCTGATTTTTATGCAAATGATATGCTTCAACAGCATTTCAGATACATCCATGTTGAAACCTGTCTGTTCTTATGCGTTGCTCAAGCTGGCAATGCTCTGGGGGTGGCGCTGCTGCCAGAGCTGTTTCTGTTGGACTGCAAGCTGTTGAGACTGGTCTGAAGTTGACAGGAGATTTACAAGAGGAGCCACACAATTTGCAGGGATGATCAGACCTGCCGTTAGAAACAAGAATGTTTAAAGGTTGCATTGAGGAGCAACCACACAGTATTTTACACTGCACAGCAAATTCCAAATGAGGCATAATATTAAGTATAACAAACAAGACTACACACCAAACCTAAACAAATACCTATCAACCAAAATGGCTCTTTCAGGAGAAACCTGATTCCTCAGCAGTGTTACCCACAAATACCTGGGCATACACACGTGTCTTCATGTCACACTGTCTTGGGTGGAAGAACAGACAGTGAAGTACAGAACCTTCCTATCTATTATCTTTCGCAGCTCCCCAAACACCACCTTCTTTGGCAGGTACTAATGTAACAAAAAGACTACAGAGTTGTGGTCACAAACTCAATGCTGACTGAAGCAGGCAGATGCTTGCAGACTGGACAGCAGATGCCCTGGGTAAGGAAACTAGATTTCTCCCTGGTGGAAACAGGAGGGCTCAATATTCCAGAGAAGCTGCTGTGTGTTTTCAAAAGATGAAAATCCAGGCTTTTGGATTTTACATGTTGACAACTAATTCAAATAAATGAAAACTTGCAACCAAAAATACTTTGTGAAAAAAATGTTCACGGATTGCCTTTGGCCACAGGCTACCAATCTGCAGAGGAGAGGAAGGTTCCTGCAAATAACACAGAGACCAAGCAGTGGGAAAGGGAAAGAACTGGGGGAAACCCCGGAGAGCCCGGGACAGAGCAAGTGGTGGCAACAGCTACCCAGCCCTGCAGGACCCCGCCCACCCTCTGGGCAGTGGCTCTGAGTGCTATCACCTCAACCTGGATGATAGACGTGACAGGGTGGACTTCAGACAACCCTGGGGCAGGAGGCTGAGCGCAGGCTTCCTGCTGGGAGCCGGCACAGACGGCCATTGAGGAAGAGGAGGAAGGAGGGCAAGAGCAGCATAAAATAAAAGACCATCCCAGAACTTTAACCAGAATCAGCAATGTCCATTCAAAGGTGTAAGTTCTGTTCAACTCTTTAGGAAGATATAAAGCAAGTTCTACCCCACTACATGAAGAGACGGTAAGATTCTAAGGCGTAAGAAGCAAAATAAGAAAAAAATGAGATCTTTTCCCCAGAGCTCAAACAAAACATAAAAAAACTCACCTACAATCCGCTGTCCATCCTCTGTTCTCAGCCGAACTATCTGCATTTTCACGTTTGTGCCACTGACAGATGCTAGAACACCCTCAACTTTTGTCCAGACGCTCAGTACTGAGCCACATAATACATAATAAGTGCGGCAACGAAGACCTATTTCACAAACTAATCCCAAGCTTGCTTTTTTACAATTGCCACGCCTAGGAGAGAGGGGGATGGGGGATATTTATCAACACACATTCAAACAAAACGCTTGCAAGGTCTACCCAAATTTCAAGTGGAAAATAATTTGCCTTTACTGGCAGTTCCTTAGAGTATAGTCCTTTCAACATACTGAATTGTCTTTCCAACGTGAGCTACCACTACTGATTTTTAAAATGAGTTATTTCTGGGACCTAACTCCCTATACAATGGCTGATTTACTGGGTTTATATCCACTTAAGCATTTGTCATTTTCTAGCCATTAGTTTACTTTGGATATTACTATATTAATGCAAGGTTATAAAATAATCCTGCCAGTTATTTCTATAGTACTTTGGGTAAGTGCAAAAGGTCTCAGCAAACAAAATAAAAGCATATAAATTTATTTTAAAAGCTATGAAAAAAAGACATACCAAAATTACTTTCACAATTCATCAATAAAAATATCTTTCCAGTATTAATTCAAGATGAATATACAGTAGTAGGGCACTTTTCTTGCTAAAACTCAAAGCAAATGTTTTAGGATTTTTGTAGGCTAATCTTTAATATATTTTATCTTAAAGAGTTTTCCTAAGTTAATTTCTAACACCACTAATTTACTCTCAAAACAAAAACACCGTTGCCCGGTTGGTGTGGCTCAGTGGTTGAGCATCGACCTATGAACCAGGAAGTCACAGTTCAATTCCCGGTCAGGACATATGCCCAGGTTGCGGGCTTGATCCCCTGTAGGGGGCGTGCAGGAGGCAGCCAATAATTCTCATCACTGATGTTTCGCTCTCTCCCTTCCTCTCTGAAATCAATAAAAATATATTTATTTTAAAAAATAACACTGCCCTGGCCAGTTTGGCTCAGTGGATAGAGCGTCGGCCTAAGGTCTTAAGGGTCCCAGGTTCGGTTCCGGCCAAGGGCATGTACCTTGGTTACAGGCACATACCCAGTAGGGAGTGTGCAGGAGGCAGCTGATCGATGTTTCTCTCTCATCGATGTTTCTAACTCTCTATCCCTCTCCCTTCCTCTCTGTAAAAATTCAATGAAAAATATTTTTTAAAAAAAGAATGTCTTGCCGAAACCGGTTTGGCTCAGTGGATAGAGCATTGGCCTGTGGACTGAAAGGTCCCAGGTTTGATTCCGGTCAAGGGCATGTACCTGGGTTGCGGGCACATCCCCAGTGGGAGATGTGCAGGAGGCAGCTGATCGATGTTTCTCTCTCATTGATGTTTCTAACTATCTCTCTCCCTTCCTCTCTGTAAAAAAATCAATAAAATATATTTAAAAAAAAAAAAGAATTAACCAGGGGATGGTCAATCACGGAAAAAGGAGACATATGTAATACTTTAAACAATTAAAAAAAGAAAAAAAAGAATCAACCATACACATCCTACAAGCATTGCTGACTGAGAGAGCCACATCAAACAGCAAATAATGTGCTCATATACTTATAGAGAGCACTAAAATAAAGGCATGTTTAATTAAATCTTGATGACACTAAAAAATGTCGTGAGAAACATAAAATACTGACCAATAAGCATGAGTACAAGTGTCTGCAGATGAATTATATTGATCTAACCAGTGAACCAGGGCATCATCCGAGACGACCTGTTGAAAGACAAAATCTCTGTTGGAAAGAATTGCTTTACACAAAATGGTTGCCTAATCTGATCTGTAAAGCTAACTTATACAGAATACCTGGCCCTTGCTACAGGCTGCATCTAAGGGACATATATCAACTTCTGCCATGAGGACCTTCCTATGCAACACAGTTTTCAAATAGCTTAGTTATAATTATAACTAGGGGCCCGATGCACAAAGTTTGTGCAAGGGGCTCGGCCCTCGCAGCCCCGGCTTCATCCGGAAGGTCGTTCAGCTGTCCAATCTAATTAGCATATTATGCTTTTATTATTATAGATTGTTTCCAAGTGACAATGGCCAAGAGAATAAAAGTTTAAGGTAACACTAATAATCCTATTCTATATAATAAAAGGCTAATATGCAAATAGATCAAACAGAGGAACAACTGGATGGAACAACCAGTCGCTATGATATGCGCTGGCCACCAGAGGGCATGCACTGAATATGGCAGGCATCAGCCATGGTGTGATGGTGGAGCAGGTGCGCCAGTCCAAGGTGGGCACCGGTCACTGTCATCGGGGTGAGCCTCTGGTGGTTACTGAAAATTCTTTGCTCCCACGTGCCACGGTCCCGCCCAGTGCTCGCACCTGCTGCCGGCACCAGCCCTGCTCGCACCCATTGCCAGTGCCCAGTGCCGGTCCCGATCGCCCCTGAGGGCTTCTCCACCTCCCCCTGCTCCTGAGGGGTGATCAGGGCAGCAGCCACCACTCGCACCCACTAATGGCGCTAGCCCCAATCGCTCCGTGCTGTCAGCGGGTGCAAGCGGGGCCAGTGGCATCTGCGTGTGGGAGCGGCTATGGCGGGAGGGGCACAGAGGATGGGCCGAGACCCGCCCCTGTGCCTACCTCAGCCTCGCGGCCCACAGTTCAAGTTGCACAAATTTGTGCACTGGGCCCCTAGTAATAGTAATGTTAGGAAAAACATAGTCATTCACTGTTTTTCTAGAAATCATTGCAAAATATAAACAGCAGCTCCTAATGAAGCCAGAGTTGGTGGGAAGGAATTTCAGTCTTGCACAGTTTCCCTTTATTTAAAAACTTCTAGTTTCACTGAAAGCTTTTTTTCTAACAACACAAGCTATTTTAAATAATCACCTTACCGGTTTCTTAATAGCAGGTAACATTAAAAACTGGGTATAACCATACTTTCAATCTTATTACAAAACAAATTATTTATAAATAGCATAGTGTACAAATGAAAAAAATACCTTCTTATATTTCTTCTTTAGATCAGCATAAATTTCTAATTTGAGCTGTTTCCCAGTATTTGGTCTATAGACTAAGAAAAGCTTCTTTTTTGGGTTTACTTCTTTAACTAAGATGGCAGTCTTCTTGTTGTTCCTTATCTATTAAAAAAGTGGGAAAACACAAAGATTGGTGACTGCTCACTCTAAGACACACTGGTGTTTGGTGCCATCACAACAGCAAGTGGAATCCCTTGACCACAGCAAAGCAAACACAGAAGCATGAACACAAAATGGAGAAGGATGACACGCTGCGGGACAGTTTTACACGGTCTCTCCAAAAAGAGGGCTCTGGGACCCGAATTCTGAGGAGGCTGAAGACTTTCTTTAGAAAATGGGTTTGAATAAGTGTTAAAAGCATAAATGTCCAGTGGAGACACTTAGCAAGTTCTAGTCCATGTACCTGACTCAGAGCCCAAACAGCCTAGAGACAAGTGAGGCAGGAGTCAAGGGAGTGGGCACGAAGGGTCTTCACAGGAAGATTCTGTTACCTCTGCTGTGTGGCTAAAATTTTTCATAATCGAATGCTGTAAAAAATGTCATTCTCCTTCAAGTTACAATAAAATATAACCTCAAAGATAATGATTTTGATCACCCACAGGCCTCTGAGTTCATCTCATCCTTAGGTGCCACCTACCCCTAACGGCTGCCCCAGGGAGAAAGATATCAGCTGTGATGGGAGATCCAATGCTGAATAAGAACCACATAACTATGTATATAGAAGTGGAAGAAAAGATTGCATCTGACAAACGATGGAACTTACATAAATTTTTTTAAGTCAGACTTATGAGAGAAATCCTAGGAAGAAGAAGTTAACAGCAGTCGCCAACCTTTCGGACCTCGCAGACCACCAGTGGTCCGCAGACCACCGGTTGGCGACCGCTGCTTTCAAGAGTGATTAACGATGACTAAGCAATAATCTCTGAAGGAAAATTGAAAGAAAAAGAACAGTTTCAAAGTGAAGACATTTCCCCAGCTGCTCTACAACATCAATGTCTTGCTGAGCAGCTACGTTTTTATATTAAGGTCATTCTTACACTGATAAAAAGACAACATTTTGCTTTTCATGGATATTAAAGACCCTTTGTCTTTTACTGGCTCAAATGATTTGAAACATTGTTTATATAATTCTGCAAAGTTAATAAAACAATGGTTAAAGTGAAAATTACATTTTCAATCTTTTTACCAGTTAAGGTAAAACACTTGATAAACTTATGAAAGTACAATGTTTCAAGCAAATAACAGTGTGATCTGACTTGGTAGAGTCAAATAAGTTCACTGTGTTATAGCCCAGTGTTTTAAATTCTGGCAATAATTTAAAATGAAAAACAATACCCTTTGTGGACCAAGCAAAATCCATCTAAGGGAGAAATATGGATAAAATCTGGTGAACTGTATCGATATCCTGGTTGTGATATTATACTATAGTTTTGAAAACTGTTCCCATTAGGGAAACTGGTGTACAAGAAATTTCTCTGTATTCTTTCTTATAACCTCATGTGAATTTATAATGATCTAAGTAAGGTTTTCAAATAAGCAAAGAAACAAGGAACCAGATCCAATTTGAGAGGTTTTGCTCTTGGATCAGGGACCAGTAAACCAGGCCTGTGGACCAAGTCTGGCCTGCAGCTCCCAAGTTTAACAGTAGCAGGAGGGGAGGGAGGGAGGAGGAAAAGCACAAAGCAGAGACCATATATGGCCTACAAAACCTGCAATATTTACTACCTGCCCCTTTACAAAAGGCAAGCAGGACTCCTGCTTTAAACAGCGTCTGTGTCTGGGCATCACAGACACTCCACTGCACACAGTTACATCTTGAACCAGGCCGTCACTGACAGTCAGTCACTCCATAAACATCTATATATTTGAAAGGCTAAGCAACCAACCAATAAGTAAGACACACACTGACCACCAGGGGGCAGACACTCAACACAGGAGCTGCCAAGGAACCCCACCCATGCATGAATTCGTGCACTGGGCCTCTAGTATTTTATTTTTTTTTGGGGGGGGGGGGGCTCTAGTGTTTTAATAAAGCTGTTGGGGGAAAAAAAAAAGGAAAGAAAGATAGATAATTCAAGAGAAGGTAAGTATTAGAAACAGGCAAAATCTGCCCTGGCCTAGGGTAGCACAGTTGGTTAGTGTCATTGGGAGTTTGATCCCTACTCAGGGCATATACAAGAATCAACCAATGAATGCATAAACAAGTGGAACAGCAAGTCGATGTCTCTCTCACTCTCAAAATCAATAAAATAAAATAAATTTAAAAATTTATTAATTTATTAATAACATCTTTTCAATATAGTAAATAAAGTTGTACACGAATGGAAAAACCCACAATTACAGTGATAAATTATCAGACCACAGAAAGCTAAATATAATTGGAAAATATGCTCAAAGCCAAGATGAGAATCACAATGCTGGCAATGAAAACACATATCTGGATAGTTCGCATCTAAAGGAAACGAGTCTTGCCCTGCCAGCGTGGCTCAGTGTTTGAGCATCAATCCATGAACCAGGAAGTTTGATTCCTGGTTGGGGCACATGCCCAGTTTGCGGGCTCAATCCCCACTGTGGGGTGTGCAGGAGGCAATCAATGATTCTCATCACTGATGTTTCAATCTCTCTCACCTTTCCTTTCTGAAATCAAAATAAACAAACAAACAAACAAACAAGTCTTACCTGCAGTGACAAGTAAAAGCCATCATCTGGTCCTGTCAGCTCAGCCCAAATCTTGGTAGCTTCCTCCCAAGACATCCCTCTCTCTACACTAATCTATAAGAGAAACAATAACAGTTAAATTCAATTCACTTCTGTGAGTGCCTATCACAGAAGGTCAGCACACAAGTGTCACATGACTGCTAGACTTACTGTGTATAACTCTACATGACCAGAGGTTGAATATCCCGGAGTCAGAAACTTCTTAACATCACTTTTCCTCACTTTCTCATCTCCAGAACCAAGATCTTAAATAAGAAAAAAAGCAGCATATAAATGTAAAAAGAACATTTTATCAGGAATACACATGTTTAAAAATTTTCCCACTGCTCTGGCTGGTATGGCTTAGTTGGTTGGGCACGGTCCTATGCACCAAAAGGTTGCCGATTTGGTTCCCAGTCAGGACACACACATGCTTGGGTTTGGGCTCGATCCCCAGTAGGGGATGTGCAGGAGGCAGCCAACGATGTTCCTCTCTCCCTCTCCTTCTCCTTCCCCCTTACCCTCTCGAAATATCAATTTTTTAAAAAAATTCCCCACTTACCTAAGATTCCCATATCATATCTTCCATTTTTTTTGGCATTTTGAACAACTGCAGTGAGTGTGTCTGCAAAATACTGAAATAACGCATTCTGTTGGTGCACCTCCATGCCCAAAATTCTATTCAGAAATTTTCCGATGTTGTTATAATCTGCAATGACAAGATTATAGGAAACAATTTAAATTTTGTTCATCTAAGCTTAGTTCAAAGTCTCGCTTTCTCCTCTGGAGTTTTTGTCACACCTCCTGCACTGTTCCCAAAACAGCTATAATCAGACAATTTCTACCTCGAGCAACTAGCATGACCATAGTCCATGCTCAAAGGATGTTTGCCAAACTGAATTTTTGCATCTTCAACTTCACTTGTTAAAAGTATGAACACAATGCCCTAACCGGTTTGGCTCAGTGGATAGAGCATTGGCCTGCGGACTGAAGGGTCCCAGGTTCGATTCTGGTCAAGGGCATGTACCTTGGTTGCAGGCACATCCCCAGTGGGGAGTATGCAGGAGGCAGCTGAATCGATGTTTCTCTCTCATCAATGTTTCTAACTCTCTATCCCTCTCCCTTCCTCTCTGTAAAAAATCAATCAACTATATTAAAAAAAATAGTATGAACACAGTTTAGCACAAAAATGTTCATTTAGCACAAGAATGTTCATTCTCCAACATCAAGTCTTAGCTAGTCAAGTGTTAAGTACTACAAGTCAGTGAAGCTCAACTTTGGCTGCACAACTAGGATGTCTCAGAGTTTTGGCCCAGTTGGCATGGCTCAGTGGTTGAGTATCGACCTATGGACCAGGAGAGGTCACAGAGGTCACAGTTCAATTCCCAGTCAGGGCACATGCCCAGGTTGCAGGCTTAATCCCTAGTGTGGGGCATGGGGCATGCAGCTGATCAATGATTATCTCTCATCACTGATCTTCCTATCTTCCTCCCTTCCTCCCTCCCTCCCTCCCTCCCTCTCTGAAGTCAGTAAAACACACATTTTTGTAAAAAAGAATGTCTCAGAGCTTTGGAAGGTAACCATGCCTGAGCTCTAGCCCTGACTTCAGTATTTTTAAGAGCTTGGCAGCTGATCATACGTGCAACCTGAGATGAGAACTGCTGCTACTGAGACAGAACAGAGGCTGAACCTCTTTTGAATAACCAGAGGAGAAAGAAACCACCCAGAGTGCTTTGTGAGCACTCAGTAACGAGGGATTGAAAGTTAGGAATTTGAACCTTCCCCTTCAAGTTGATAAACGCATAAATAACAAAATGGGCTTTACTAAAACAGCAACAGCTATGTGTATATACAAAACTAATAGCAGTACCTTTATCTAGAGTTAGAATTCCTGAGCGGTCTTCTACATTTATCAGGCCAACCCCTATCAGTCCTTGCCGAACATCTGTAAGAAAATAAATTAATAATAATAAACCTCAAAACCCAAATGAACTGTCACCTGACTAATCAAAGTAGATCAAGTTCTAGCACTAAGACACAGCCTATGTTTCTTCCACAGTTCCTATTAGCCAAATTAAATGGAATCGACAGGCCCCAAAGGTCTTTAGAAACTCAGAACTTCTACAATACTCAAGCCTCACACTCTAGTTTAATATTTCATTAAAATATCTTATGGCCTTGGCCAGGTTGGTTAGAGCATCATACTGATACACCAAGGTTGCTGATTCAATCCCTGGTCAGGGTACATATATTCAAGAGTCAACCAATGAATGCACAAATAAGCGGAACAAATCGATGTTTCTCTCTCTAAAATGAATTTTTTAAAAATCTTATCTTTCCAACAGTAATCTTTGACAGTGGAGATGTTTGACTACCAGCTGTCACCCATAGAATTTGCAACAAAACAACATCTATAATAGTAAGCATGTTCTGAATTTTGTTACTAAGAGAGCAGTTTATGGAGCTTTAAAAAATACTGGTGTCTTACAGAATAAGGAAGTGAGGGAAAAAGGTCAACAGGAAGCATGATGACATGGTTTACACACTTTCATTTGCATGCTCAAAATTGTCTAGATTCTGCGGATGAAAACTGTGTAGACAAAGATCTCTACTGCAAAAAACGCCTCCTTTGGAAACCCCTCCGATCCCCATAAATTACCTGTATAGGGTGGGGCAAAAGTAGGTTTACAAAAGTAGGTTTCATATGGAAAATCATATAAAACAATACAAAAATTAAGTACTCACAACTGTAAACCTACTTTTGCCGCACCCTGCACACAAGGATATAATCTCAGCACTGTCTGTAATGGCAAAAACAGGAAAGCCCACTGAATTCCAGTTATGGAGTAACTGGAGAAACTTACATAAGCTAGCTGCAGAACACTATGCAGTTACAAAAAAAGTATTAGTGCTATAGCTACTGGCTTGTAAGAGATGTCGGTAAGGTATTAAGTGAAAAGTACTTTGTAAAAACAGTGTTAATTGCATTTAAAAGATAAGATGTGTTTAGGGAAAATATGCTGGAAGGCTGTCACTGTTCAGATTGTCAACATCTGTAACCCTGGTAGGTGGAAATGAAGGTGGCAGGTAAGGACAAGACTGACTCTTCACCATACACTTTAGGTTTCTTTCATTACTTACGATGATTAAGTAACATGTAATCTTAAAGAGAAGGGGAGAGGGAGAGAGACAACAACAAGGCCAAGGCTTTAACTGTTAAATGCCGTTGGTGATCATAAAGACCCTGCCTAACATGTCAACATGGACTGCTACCAACACCAAACACTGGCTCAACTGGAAAGGCCCTTCTAGTGAAAAATGCTAACTCTACAATGATACGTCAAATATCTTATACCTACTTCTTACATCTATTTTCCAAAATATGTTCACAGTTTCCTGAGTTACTAAAACCAACTGAACTACTTACATTTGTGGGGTAGAGTCTATACTACAGATCTGCAGGATTGGTCTAAGAACTTCCTTAACACTACCTAGAATTTTCTTTTAATACTAGAGGCCTGGTGCACAACATTTGTGCACTTGGGGCAGGGTGTGTGTGTGTGTGTGTGTGTGTGTGTGTGTGTCCCTCAGCCCGGCCTGCACCCTCTCACAGCCTGGGACCCCTTGCTCCTTACGGGAGAGGCCACTGCGCTCGCCAGCTGTGAGCCCGGCTTCTGACTGAGCAGATCTCCCCCTATGGGAGCGCACTGACCACCAGGGGGCAGCTTCTGCATCAAGCATCTGCCCCCTGGTGGTCAGTGTATGTCATAGTGACCGGTCGCTCCGCTGTTCAGTAGATTTGCATATTAGCCTTTTATTATATAGGATGGAAATTTCCAAACACATACAAATGTAAAGAAAATGCTGTGAACCACACACATTCTCATTACCCCATTTTAACAACTGTTAGCACATGGGCATTTTTATCTATGCCCCCCACCAATCTCCACAGATTATTAACCAAGGTACTTTAACTTTCAAATTTAATTTTAAAAGCTATTGGACATAGTAATTTTAAATGAACCTAACAAACCACTTTCCTCCATGAATCTAGTAGTAACACGCTGTACACCATCAAGAGCAAAAGCATCTTCATTTGAATGAAATTTAATAAATCAACTGCTTATTACAATTGATCAACTTAGGTGTCTAATAACTTTCAATTTCTAAGTTTTATAAAAAGTAAAAACACTGCACATTAGAACAGGTTTGAGTACCTCCTTATCAATACTCATTTTCCTTTGTTATGATTATTCTTAAAAGTTACCTTTAGCCCTAACCGGTTTGGCTCAATGGATTGAGCGTCGGCCTGCGGACTCAAGGGTCCCAGGTTCGATTCCAGTCAAGGGCATGTACCTTGGTTGCAGGCACATACCCAGTAGGGAGTGTGCAGGAGGCAGCTGATCGGTGTTTCTCTCTCATCGATGTTTCTAACTCTCTATCCCTCTCCCTTCCTCTCTGTAAAAAAATCAATAAAATATTTTTTTTTAAAAAGTTACCTTTAAAGAATTCTCCAGGGTAATCTGGAGGCGGTGATACCATAGGAGAATCTAGGTTTACAATGGACTTCATGACAATTTCTAATGCATTTCTTCCATACTGCAATAAAACAAACAAACAAACAAACCAGTTTTAACATTTGGGTACTCTTCAATCACATGACCAAGTCAATACTATAAAAATTATAATTGTATCACAGAATCAAAAACAGCAGGAACAAATTATCTTTGTACCTATTCTGTACTGCCTAATGCCTACTTCACACCTCTGCACATAGCAGACAGTCAATCAAGAACTTCTGGGAACTCACACCTCATTCATTCACAAACGTGTTATATTCCTACTTCCAATAGGAATAAAAAGATAACTATATTGCAGAGCTGGTCACTGAAGATCTCACCGACGTGTGAAATCTTGTCTTTCTGTCTATGGGAAACCATGATTTTACAGCAAAACCCGGAGAGGTGGCATTGCTAGGTTTTCAACAGCCCCCACTTCCACGAACCAGCACACTACTGCAAGCATCAGAGATGGAAATCTGAAATGTACCTTATTGTCAAAGTTGAACCTGCTCAAATCTCTGGATTCTGTTGCTCTTCTGTCACCATGTGTAAGTGCCCCCTATCAAAGCATAAAATTTCCAATCAGACAGGTAACATACACCAGCCTTTACACACATCTATACAACTCCAAAACTTACCAAACTCTCAAGTCTTTTAGCAACAATAGATGCAAATCTTTGTTCTCCCGCCAATTCAGAAATTAGAAAGACATATTCAGGAGCTGTAACTTGGTTTGATCTATGAGTTCGTCCTGTAACCACATTAAAAAAAAAATCAGAGTGTGTTCACTAGAAACAGATAATTCTGAGATCTATTCCTAACATTTAACACTAAGGTGGGATCCAGAAACCATGAAACAAGAGGAAAAACATAAAACTGTTAAATGCTAAATATATTACTATTGCTACCCCAGTTTGGTTAACCACAATGTTGCTGATGCACAGCTGCTATGGATTATGCCCAAATTCTTGTTTATAATCACCGGGTCCCAGGGACGTGAAGATGGAAGGAGGGGAGGAGCGATGTGCCCCGAGAGAAGGCTGTAGGGTTGAAAAGGACGTGAGCAGCAGCTGCTCTGACAGGCCCTGATCAACCCAAGGGTCTGTAATGAAGACACTCCTGACAAGCCCTGTTCTGGGACAGAATGCCACAAACCCCATCAAGTCCCACTGCAGATCTTTTACATCTTTTAAAACAGGCATGAAAGAAAAAACATTAAGTAAGTAAAACAGGTATGAATTCATGATGCACTCCCTATTTTAAGGTACATGCTACACACAACACCTCCAAAATCTACATGTATGTGGAGTTTAAGATGTCTGACAATAAATACAGACTGACATGTACACATTTCCCCAGTGGATCTGCCGTCTGCTGAGTGAAATGCATGCGGGACCTTACCAAACTGCTGAATGGCTCTGTCTGCACTCCAGGGCAACTCCAAAGTCATGTGCACTCGCCGTCGTTGATTCTTGGCTCTCCGATCTGCTTGTAATGAAATACCTGAGCTGGCAGCTTCCGAGATGATAGCAATATTCTGTATCAAATGTAAGAGAAAAAAAAGGTAATCTTTGCACAAAGACCAGCAGTGAAGTATAAATAAAGTCCTTAGGTAGATTACTGGGGATCCATCAATACCCACTCTCCTCTTCCTAAATTAGAGAACCCCCAATCTTAGCTGGGTTCATGGAGGCCCAGAATGATTACATTTCCCAGTCTCTCTTGAAGCTAAGTGTGGTAGGTAGTAGTAATGTGAACAAGGTCCAGAAAATATCCTTAAAGTTGAGAACATGCCAGTGTGGCTCAGTGGTTGATCAACGACCTATGAACCAGGAGGTCACAGTTCAATTCCCGGTCAGGGCACATGCCCAGGTTGTGGGCTTGATCCCCAATAGGGGGCATATAGGAGGCAGCCCTTCGATGATTCCTTATCATTGATGTTTCTATTTCTCTCCCTCTCCCTTCCTCTCTGAAATCAATTTAAAAATACTTTAAAAATATATATAAAACATGTGAATGTTCATTGATTGTGTGCAATTACTAAAAAATATAGGAAAACAACATTAAACAGGGACAATTCATATTAAAAGAAAAAAACCTTCTAAAGATTAATCTAAATGTCTAACTATATGGACAGTATTCTTGTCACTGAAAAGCATCCCCCAAAAGAAAGGAAAAGGAGCATCCCAGAAAAACATACCTTATCTCCATCCATAAACCTTTGTTTTTCTGTGATATTTAATATTTCCACAGGGACATCAAGTTCAGATCTTGACTCATAAGATATGCTTCCATCATCATTGCTTACGACCCTCCCCTTGCGGCCTGTCATCTGCAAAGCCAAACAAACCGTGCCACTTACAAACTGCCACTTACAATTAAGGTGCCTGATTCAGACCCAGGACTCCTTCACTGGAGAAACCTGGTGCGAGGCAAAAGGGATGATGAGCCAACATGTATTGCACGGCCTGTGCTGCACCAGGCGCTGTGGGAGAAACATTGCAACAGAGCCCCTGGTTTTGAAAAGTTCAGATTCCAGTGGAGATAACAGGCATGTGGCAATGATCAGAGGCTGCCTTCGGCGCAGGGACAGAGTTGAGTGTCTCAGGGCAGACACGCAGACACTACGAGCTTGGGATGAGGACAGAGTAAGAACAAGGGCCCTAAGATCTGAGAGGAAACTAGACAGATCATGTGATGATACCCAAAATACCACTCATTCTACAGGGTTTTAAAGGCGGCAAAAAATTACCAAGGAGAGACACAGCCCTGCTCAAATCCTATATACCTCAGCAACATTCTCAGGGCCGCCAAGTTCATCAATCAGCTCATCCAGGGTATTAGGAGGGAGGTCTTCAGCTAATTTTTCTAGTTTATCAAGTAGGTCTTTCTTCATTTGCTGGGCCCTTTCCACGGCATCCTGACTTGTTATAAGGCTGCTGTTGCTGTTGGTGTTGCTGTTAGCTGGATAAAGTACATTTGTTAAAAATCAGTACAGAGTTTAAATATTTGTTTTGTTTAAATTAAAAGTACATTTCACAAAGCAAGCTTTCACATGGATACCTGGTGCACTGTTAGGAGCAGGTGAAATAACTGGTGTGGATGAAAAACTAGGTCGTTTTGATCCAAGACCTGATGCTAATAAGGCACTTTGAATAGAATCTGGATCTATACTTTTCTTTCTTTTTTTATCTTTGTTTTTCTTGTGGTCTTTTCTGATTAACCAAGGATCTGAAAGAAAAGATAGGTGTCAAATCATTTGTTAAAACAAGTGGGAATCTTCAAAGGACAGAACCATTGAGCTTTTTTGTACTATTAACTGATAACTTGTAAACGGTTGCCAACTACAGTGTCCAGTACATCCACACACAAGTCCATGGTTTGAGGTTAAAATAACTGCACAAAACTGAGATCATCTCACATAAGTAAGCTAACCCTCCAGAAGACAGTCTAGGAGCTCTCCACCAAGCAAAGACTAGAATCTGTGTCTTGTGTTTACTTCACAGAGGATAAAAGGTGTTACTACAATATCCCACGTCAAATAACCAAAAATAATGACCCCTCAGCTTCCATTTAACACATTGACGAACTCACCATCCTCATCGTCCTCACTGGACTCATCTCTAAACGGGTTGAAGTCGTCATCATCTCCAGAACTCAGGTTCTTGGAGCTCGCATAGTCACTCTCCTCGTTATCAGAGGCATCGGATTCGCTCCCACTGTCGTCAGAGCTGCTCCCGGTGAGGCCACCCACTTTCCGTGCTTTTTTGGCTTCTCGAGTTATTTCTTCACCTACCCTCAAACCGTGGAAAAGACAGTCAGCCAAACACACTGTTCTCAAAATCCAGGAAATCACATTTAGTTCATGAGTTAATTCGAATGAGACCGGTAGAAGGGGAGCATTTACGTAAATATGTAAGAACAAATAAAATTTACAAAAAAGCGCTAACCTTTTGGACTAACATAGAAATTAGGTTATGTTCAATTATGTATCTAATTTATTCTTAAGAAAAAATTAGATACATAATTAAAAACTCAAGACTGCCTTCAAGGGTACAAGTTTCAAATAAAATCAGAACAGAGATAAAACAGAATCTCTGGCGCTGTCACAATTTGTTTATCAGGTTGAGAGAAGATGCCTAAATAATCATAGTTTTACAGAATACTTAAAAAAAAATATTAAAGCCCTAGCCGGTTTGGCTCAATGGATAGAGTGTCGGCCTGCGGACTGAAGAATCACAGGTTCAATTCCGGTCAAGGGCACGTGCCTGGGTTGCGGGTTCGATCCCTTGTAGGGGGGTGTGTGGGAGGCAGCCGATCGGTGATTTTCTCTTATGATTGATGTTTCTCTCTCTCCCTCCCTCACTCTTCCTTTCTGAAATCAATAAAGATATATATATATATATAAAAAAAAAGACTTGCTGGAATACAGCTGACCATTGATAGCATGGGTTTGAACTGCGTAAGTCCACTTATTAGCTGATTTTTTTCAATAAGTACAAAAGTGTCATTTTTACAATCTTATGATTTTAATAACACTTGCTTTTCTCTGTCTTAGTTTAGTAGAAGGATACAGTATATAATGCACAGAATATAACACAAAAAATATATGTTAACTGACAGTCTATGTTATCGGTAAGGCTTACAGTCAACAACAGGCTGTTAGTAGTTAAGTTTTGGGGGAGTCAAAAGTTGCACTCCCCCAAAACTTGGGGGTTGCTGCTAACTCCCGTGTTGTTCAAGGTTCAACTGTACAAACAATTGATAAAACTGTACTTAAGCCACAGAAGGTGCTAATTTAAATTATGTTACTGAATATTCAGAAAAGATATCTGAAACAGCATTACTTTTCATGCCATGACACTAAGTTAATAAAAACACTGCCAATTATACTATAATAACAAAGCCACTTTCAGGCATATTAGAATATGTCTTTCTTAGAATGAATGAAACAAGGTTAAAGTGTCAGGCATTGTGTTTAGAGTTCACAGCATCAGGTTTCACAGTAAGTTATCATCAATCACCCTGGAGAAAGAGCCTGAGAAGGCAACTTCTCAAACAACTTAGCACCTTAACACAAACCCATGTTTCTATTACTAGAAAATGTCTAACAAACATTGGCTCATGTATTTCAATAATAAACTAACAGAAGCCTCTTTAAATAAGACTATAAATACACAAATGTGCAGTTTTGACAACATAAAGGCCTAGATTCTGCTTCCCATATATCACCTACTAGCTGTTGTGAACCTGGGAAAACTCCTTAACCTCTTAGTCTTCCTGGACCTTAATTTCCTGTCTACAAAACTGAAAACCTAAGACCTGCTTTCATATGGATGCCAGTGCTTAACACCATGCTAGCACTATTTAAAAAAAAAATACTTTTATTGATTTCAGAGAGGAAGGGAGTTAAAGAGATATAAACATCAATGATGAGAGAGAATCACTGATCGGCTGCTTCCTCCATGCCCCACACCAGGGATCAAGCCCACAACCTGGGCATGTGCCCTGACCGGCAATCGAACCGTGACCTCCTGGTTCATAGATCAATGTTCAACCACTGAGCCTCGCTAGCCGGGCCATGACAGCACTATTCAAATGGTTCAAGCCATGATTTAAAAAGGGTTTCTTGTGCACTGGAAACTACATGAGCAACACTGAAAATATGCAGCCAACTGCTGATTCAATGAAAGTAGTTAATTCCCAAAGTATATCTGCTTCAAATCTATACTATTTTCAACAACATTAAAAACACACACACACACACACACACACCTTTCCGCTTCTTTATTTTATTTTCTTTACAAGGACTGTCTCTTGGTGAACTGTTGTTACTTGGAGCTGTCAAATCGATTCCCAGCAAACTATAAAGCTTTTTCCTGTCTGGAGCAGGGAAGTGCTTTTCGATGAGTGACTGCAACACTCCTCTGTAGGAGAGAGAAAAAGTGACAATGAGTGGTTCCGTTTTTTTTGTTTTGTTTTTTTATTGATAATTAATATACTTTGTTCAAGCTTACAAAATACTGATAATCCAGCTCAAATGAATTTAAATATTCTAGGCCAAGGCTGTCCAATTGCAATATAATGCAAGCAGAGCCAAATACTTAATTTTTACCTTCCAATAGCTACATTAAAAAGTAAAAGAAAATGTAAAATTTTAACAATATATTTTACTTAACTCATTATATCACTTCAACATGTAATCAGTTAACTATTTTATGTTATTTTATCTGAAGTCTTTGAAACTTGGTGTGTATTTTATACTTACACCACAACTTAATTTGGACTAGCCAAGTCACCTGCTCAATATCCACACATGACTAATGACTATCATTTTAGAAAGGGCAGTACTAGGCACCCAAGTTCAGAAAAATACAGATTAACAGGGGCATGTTTTGCTTTTAAAAGTGGTTTTTGTTTATAGCTACTTTAAAAAGAGCCATTTGAAAGTATCCCCTAAAGCAAGAGAGAGTATGGTGGCAAGTCATTTTGCTAATTTTACTACCATAGTAGGAACTGGCAGGTTAGGCAAACAAACTGAAATACAACGCCAAAACATTTTTGTAAAACTCTTTTTCAATCTCATGACTATTTGCAATTATTAGAGCTTCCTATATTGGGACAAACTATACTTATTGCTCATATACTTATTGAAACTGCAATTCGAAATACACAAATGCGAAAGTAAAACAGAAACTAGACCCAGCTGTCACATTTCCAAGAGGTGCAAAACAAAAATCAAGCCTTTTCAGTAATCATCCAAACACTTGGAATAATACTGTCAAAATGCTTAACATTTCAGCATTTCTGTTGTTTTCCAAAAGATATAGTGTATGGATCCACACAGAATTGCAAAAACTAAGATCAGAAAAAACTTTAAAAGATGATATAGGTGAATCAAAAATTTTAGCTCCAGGAAATGCCAACATTTAAGTTCATCTAAGTCAGTGATTTTCAACCAGTGTGCTGCAATAATTTTTAAAATATCCAATACCAATTTTTAAAACTTAGGGGCACTGACCCCTTTTCCTTTAGATTGTCAAATAAAAAAATGACAACAGCCAACACAACAATAGCCCTCCAGTATGAATCTATCAAAATTATACCTTTTCTTTTTTTTGGTCAGATTGGCAAAAAATATATTTTTTGGCGTGCCATAGAATTTTCATTAGTTTATGTGTGCCATGAGATGAAAAAGGTTGAAAATCACTGACCTAAGTAAAAACTCAAAACTAAAAACATTACTTGGCCGTTGAAACAAAATCATTCAGCTCTCCCCCGCCCTCTTCCAAGGCTTCTAATGTTCTGGCTTCTCCTGTAGACTGCAGGCCAATTACAACACACTGGAGAAACAGAAAATATAGTGATTATAAAGAAAAACATGCAGCACATGGTTTTAAAAGACATTTTACATACTTAGTAAAATAAAAGATTTCAAACAAGAATGACCATTATTGTACACATGGGCTCATTTATTTAGTCTACATGTATTTGAGAGATGCTACGTATAAGAACTTAGCTAGGAAATAGCATACAGCAGTGGACACGCTGGAAGCCCCGCCCCAGATTTTTTTGTGCTTTAAGTAGAGATATATTCATCAAGAAGAAAAAAACCCTTAATAAATATATATCCACATGTTATCAGCAGTTCTATCAACAGATGGCCAAATTATAGTCATGGTTATTCTTTACATTTTTTGAGCTATCTAAATTCTTTATAACCACACGTTGCTACTGTTATTTTAAAACCTGTATTTTTCACAGTCTTAACTGTATTAATACTTTTACTACTATCCTTTAAAAAGAGCAGGCTTTACAAGTAGGAAACCTCAACACCCAAAAGGTTAAAAAAAAAAACGAAACACATTTCCAAAGAAGAAATCTCTTAATATGTTTTCCAACTTACTTTTCCATTCTTAATTTCCTCTCGAGCCAGCTGCACAACTCTCTTGACTTTGGATGCTATGCACAAGTATTTGAAAAACCTCTGGTGAGCAGACCAGAACTGACCCCACATGGACTTCTTCATTCGCTGCTCAGCATCAATCAGATCCGCAGCTTGCTGAAACCGCTCTCTTGCAATGACCCACTGAAGATGCACAACCAACACTTTAAGTATTTCAACTTTGAGTGCAAATTATTTTAAAATAACTGCTTCAATCAAAATAATGCTAAGGGCAAGATCATTTAACATTAATTTAATGAAGAATATTCAGTAATTTTGGGATCTCTAAAAGGATTTTTAGGATGCTTACATAAACCTGTCCCAAAATTCTTATGAACTGATAAAGGTATTTTAGGAAATAGTTACATTGTGATTTTTAAAACCATGCAACTTAAATAAATGGCTATTTTTAATAAATTAGGAAAGAGAAGGCTTGGAATATTAGGAAAATAAGAACCTGATGATTTGTGTGTTTTCTGGGAGAAATATACTCTCATGGGCTCACCCACATTACACTGAACAAAACTAACAGAAACATTAGCAGGTGCATTAAAAATACTAGGAATTAAGGGAAAAAATCTTACCAGCTTGACTGCTTTGTTGTACATTTTTACATAGCTCTGAGAAAGAAGAACTTCCTCAATTTTGAAGGTCACTCCAGTAAAGCTCAGCTGTCGAGCAATGTACATTCCTCTAAGCTTCATATCCATAGCAACTATTTCCATGGCACCAACACCTCTGAATAAAATTAAAACACACAGTAACTATCATTAAATATAGTAGGGCTTTAACATATGGGAGAGAGGTTTTAGCAATACACATCTTTTAGACTGCTTCTGAGAGCAAATAGTGTACAGTCAGTTGCATTACCTCCGTTCCACTGCTTGAATAAAATCACTGAATTCTCTAAATGGAGTTCCTTCACCCCATATTCCAAGACGGTTCATATAGGCCATGTTTCGTGGTTCAGAAGCACCTGAAAAAGCAAAATAAAACATATTACAGCTGAAAAAAGACCACATTTATCTTTTAAATAAACAGCTACTCACCAGTGGCACTAGCATAAACAACTCTGGCTTTTGGCAATTTGTTCTGAAGCTCTAGGACTGCTAAGCCTGTCTTGGTTGGTTTTGAAGAACCAACAGGACATAAGTTTTTTGCTTTATGACATTCATCAAACACTATCTGTAAGGAATGAATTAAGGAATGTATCACATTAGTAGCATGTGCCTTTGATCTCCCAGGAAGTTACTTTTTATTTCCCTTTGGAAACATCTAGGATTTCTAGGGTGGTGGCCCTGGCATAAAATTCAAGATTATTAGCGGAAAGGATGTTGTTAACAAGCTCCTGGGTAATAACTTTTAAAATAACAGCTACGTGCTTATCATCCAGCTTTGTCCAATCTTAACATGTTGCCCTATCTGTTCAGATTTTCTTTTTCATTATTACAAACATCAATGAAGCCCTCTATGTGCCTCTCCTTGACTTCAACGCCTCCCTCAGGTCTCAGAGGCACCCACTGAATTTGGTATTCAATTTAACCGGATACTTAATTATTAATTAGAATGAAGGAAAAGATCCATACGGCAAGTAAGTCCACCACACAGATAACTTTGTCAAATTCTGTCCACGGAAGCTCTAATAGTAACCCACTTAGTCGGCATGTGGAATACTGATGTCCCCATTTAAGACAGTGAGGGTGAGCTGTGAGCAAATCAGTCAGGAAGGCACGGAGGCACCATGTCACCTGTCTTCTCAGGTACTTTACCATGTGGACATTCCATGTGGATCCCCAAAGGGAAACAGTATTCAGCATTTCCCACACCTCCAATCACTTTCCTAACTAGGGACTGCGATGCTGGCCTCCTCTACAAAACAGAGCCAACTTTCTGACCCGCTGGACTCTGGGTAATCATTAAAGCTGATTTCCCAGCAATTTGTTTATTTAATCTCGGGATTCCTGTTTTCCAAATGTTCCTCCTTACATTAACTTTTGTGCCATTAAAAAATATGAAAACGCTTGTTGCAAAGGATACCACGCCATCAAAGTCATCGCCACACCAATGCAGAAGCTGTTTTAGCCTTGTTTTGTATTTACCGCCGGACTGACTCTCACCAATAAGGGAAGAATAGGTGGCAAAAATCACACCCTTTTTCACACTCCCATTATGTTTGGAAGAAATTTTTCCATACTTAAACTGAAAAAGAAAGAGAAGAATTTAATAAGTGCACTTTTCTCTCTGAAACATGAATCCCATCCACATGTTGATAGGAATCTGGTGGTCCACGGTGGGCTTCAGGGGAGTTAAGGACTTCCTAAGAGCATACACGAAATTTCTTACACATATGAATATACATACACACACCCACACATATATGTATACACAGCTTTATGCTACAAGGGTACAGTTTTCAAAGTCTCAAAAAAGTCTATCACACAAAAAAGATTATAAATCAAACTCTCCTACAAAAGTCACAATATTCATTCTACAAATATTTAATGTGCACTTACTACTATATAGAAATCATTGTAATTAAGTAATGAGGAAAATACAAGAATTGCGATTAATAGTTAATGCGCCCTTCTTCAATTACACTGACTCAGAAATAAAAACACATTTTAGGTGCCAATTACATGTTTTTGTTTTGAACAATTAGTAGTCAATCAAGCCCTAGCACTTTACCCATCAATCCAGTCAGGAAGGCCCACCCTGAAAAGCATCGGGGAGTAGGACAACACTGAGCCCACCGGGGACTCGTGTGGCAGGTAGATTCATGTTTACATATTGTCAAAGGGCTACAGGGAGAGACGTGCAGGAATTAGATCTACTCCACCCTGTAACTGAGCAATTGGTGCAGAGCTGGAGGACAACGAAGAGTTGCTAAAACCTAAAATTCTAATCACACTGGACTGTGCTTTAGACGCTGAGACACATTTTCTTCCACTGGAGAACTGTCTTAATATGAGCACAGGTCTGGTACACAGTCCACTGATGCACAAGGGTCTAAACCAGTCTCCAACTGCAGTAATTGCCTAAATGCTGTGATGGGCACACCATCTGTCCAGCTTTATTATACTGCACCCTTTCAGAAGTAAACTCAGCACTCACTAGGTTTCCTGTGAAATAACTCACTGAATCCTTACAACAACCCTCTGAAGAAGAAACTTATTATTCCCATATCACACGTGAGTGAATATTTAGTGAATGACCAACTGAATAGAAAACGTCCATACCTTATTTAATGAATGGACCAAAATGTTTTTTGCTCCAATATCCCTCAAATCTCTTTCAGCATCATATTTCAAATCATTAGAAACACTGAACCTGCCACAAAAATAAATAAATAGTAAGTAAATACATACAAATTCCATCGTTCTGCCAGTTTTCAGAAATTAAAGCCAGGCCTTAACCCTTCAAAAACTATATACCTATTCATAAAATCCCTTGCCCACATGCAGAAGTAACTATCCACATAGGAAAGCTTCCACAGCCAGTCTTTAGCACTTACCACAATGCTCGTTTTCTACTCAACAAATAATTTTCATAGATGATTCCTGCTATCGTCCTTCCTTTCCCTACACCAGCACCATCACCTATTAAGAAGCCAGCACGATCTCCATTAGGTAGGAATGTTTCATGTTGCTGGGAGAAAAAAAAAGCAGGTTAATTACTCCTTTTGATATTTTGGTGATCTGTCTTTCACACAGTTTTTAGGGTTATATTAACATGACCTATGTTTATATAAATGGCATACAGCTTGGCTTGGCATGGATACTTTCCTTTTATTTACTACACATTCAATCTTGCTACCCTCGCATGCACCAGGTTAACTAAAATTAACAACATAATGAGAATTCTTCCATGCCCCTTTCAACACTTACACAACTTTCAGCCACTGGAGGAAAAAGCTGCAACATATAGCCGTATATGTATGTTCTTATCCAGTGGTTCTATGGGATAGACTCCCAGCAATGGAACTGCTTGGTCAAAGGATATATGCATTTTCAGTTTTAATACATATTCCCATTGAATTCCAAGGTATAGCATTTGCCATTTCCACTAGCAATGCACTCCGCACACCCGTGTTAGCCATTTAATTTCCTAACACATAAAATTTCTATAAATATTGCATTCACAAGTTTTACATGCAAGGAAAACTTACCTCTGGACTGAAACAATTATATTATATAGACTAAGATTGAAGAATAAATACCGTATAAAACATTATTGCTTACCTGGGCTGCATATGTAATTGCCTCAAGCTGTAATGCTGACAACCAGCCATTGTCAATGGTTTCTTCAGAAATGGATGCTTTGTACCAAACATCGGGAGGAGTAACACTGGATAAAGAACTAGTTTCCACCACAGCATCCGGGTGACGTAGCCCAATTTTTACTAAATGAAAATTTTAAAATATTTCATTTTAATCACGCTAGGTAATAATACTTCCATTTATATTACAAGATATTGCAGTATTTTACCTATGACAGAAAATATAAATAAATACTAGTAAGTAACTATGTAGAGTCACTGACTGATGATAAAGTACTATTTAAGTTTGACTGAAATGACCAATTTATCAACTACCTATGTTTTAAATAGTGACTTGGTGATTAAAAAGACTTAGAAAAATAAACTTACTGTACAAACCAGGTTCTCCAGTAGTAACAGAACATAATCCTAGATTCAGGGGTTTAAATGAATCATTCACTTCAAAATCAGTGGAAAAGGTCTGCAATATAATTTTATCTTGAAAGATATTTCAAAAGAAATCCTGGCTACAAAATTAAACAATAACTAGTTTCCCAAAATGTATAAAGTGAGTATAATTTCCAATAGGAGTCAGGCCCGAGCTGGTTTGGCTCAGTGGATAGAGCGTTGGCTGTGGGCTGAAGGGTCCTGGGTTCGATTCTGGTCAAGGGAACATCCCCGGGTTGCGGGCTCAATCCCCAGTAGGGGGCAAGCAGGAGGCAGCCGATCAATGATTCTCTCTCATCATTGATGTTTCTATCTCTCTCTCCCTCTCCCTTCCTCTCTGAAATCAATAAAAATATATTAAAGAAAAATTGGGAGTCGGCAAACTTTTTCTATAAATGGTCAAGTAGTAAATATTTTTGGCTTTGTGAGGCATCTGGTCTTTTCTACATCTACTGAACATTGCTGTTGTAGCAGGGCTAAAGCAGCTATAGCCAATAAATAACCAATGGGCTTGGCTATGTTCCAATAAATTTTATATATTTTTATTGATTTCAGAGAGGAAGGGAGAGGGGGAGAGGGGGAGAGAGAGACGGGTGGGGGGAGGAGGGAGAAACATCAATGATGAGATTCACTGACCGGCTGCCTCCTGCACGCCCCCTACTGGGGACTGAGCCCACCACCTGGTCAGGTGTCCTGACCAGGAATTGAACCGTGACCTCCTGGTTCATAGGTTGATGCTCAACCACGCCAGCCAAGTCAGAACTTTATTTATAAAAACGGACAATGGTCCAGATTTACTTTGCTGACCTCTGGTTTAAAAGGCCATCGGTAAACTTTCAATCCTTTTGTGAAGACTATTATTGGAAAATTTCCGATACCACAATTCAAAGCTCATTTTAGATAAGCAGAAAAGTATGAGATCTTAGACCATACATGGTTGGTAAACAGACATTTTTAGTTTAAGTGGTATTATTAGTGGCTTTTTATAGAAACACAGAGTATATATAAAACACAATTATTAATTTTCATGGTCATTATGGAAAAAAGACAGAAATTATGTTAATGTAAGCCAATGTGTTTAAATAGCACATTTTATCTTTAAGATCCCCATGTTTTTGTTTTGTTTTTTAAATATATTTTTATTGATTTCAGAGAGGAAGGGAGAGGGAGAGAAAGATGGAAACATCAATAATGAGAGAGAATCATTGATCAGCTGCCTCCCGCACGCCTCCTACTGGGGATTGAGCCCGCAACCCTGGCATGTGCCCTTGACCGGAATCGAACCTGGGACCCTTCAGCCTGCAGGCTGACGCTCTATCCACTGAGCCAAACCAGCCAGGGCTGTTTTTTGTTTTAAATAAGCTCTATAAATTACACAAAATACATATTTACATCTCTGCAATTTATTGAGTTTATATTCACTGCTAACTCAAAACAATATAAACCCAAGCTTTTATTCTTTTTAAAAAAAAATATCTTTATTAATTTCAGAGAGGAAGGGAGAGGGAGAGAGAGATAGAAACATCAATGTTGAGAGAGAGTCATTGATCGGCTGCCTCCTGCACACCCCACACAGGGGATTGAGCTCGCAATCGGGAATGTGCCCAGATAGGGAATCGAACCGTGACCTCCTGGTTCATGGGTTGACACTCAACCATTGAGCCACGCTGGCTGGGGAAGCTTTTATTCTTGGTTTTAAAAGACTTCAACCTAAAACAAAGTTCTAACTTTGTATAGAAGAAAAAAACAACACAGTATATGTGTATATATTTTCAAACATATTCTAGTTTAAAACATTACAAAGCTGGTGCTTGTCAAATTCTTAAGTGCCCACATTGACAGATCCTAATAGATAATAACGTGTGTGGGAAAGTTTTTAAGTTCAAGAGGAACTTGGAAGTCTTTCATTATTTTGGCAAATCCCAAAGACATACATTTTATTGGCATATACTCTGCGTAGGTTTCTGCATGGCCCATTTCTTCTTCATCTTCTTCCTCCGGTTCATCTTCCTCTTTTACAACAGGAACCTTCTGTAACACAAAAACAGCATAATCAATTCTAATCCAAGAGACTAGAGGCCCGGCCAACACATAAAAAATCTTCTGCAGGAATGCCCACCATCTTCAGTCCTGGAAACATGACATATCACTGCTACATTCCCTGACATCAGGATTCCTCATGGCTTCCCTGCTTCTCCAATGAGCACAGATCATCCATGACTTGCTATCATCCCTGACACACAAAGGGGCCACCACAGGGCTTCACCTGTCTTTTATTTGTGTAGCCTTGGGCAAATTAAAATTCTAAATCCGCCCACTCCACTTTATCTCAACTATAACAGGAATGCATACTCCGCTAAATGACCGGCTTCCTTCCGTCTCCCTCTACCTTAGCTCCCCTACCTAAACTTAGAGGATAAGATGGTAATACCAAAGGGTCACAAAATCCAGGGACTACACAGGTAATATTTCTAAGCCAGTGGGATATAAAATGGCAACTGCCACCAAGCTTAGGGTACAGGAGATACACAGGAGGCACAGAGACTGTGGGACCTGGGCAATGCCTGCCCAACACACAAAGTAAATGTCCTAGTCAACTCCAGGCACATTTTACTGGGTGAGGAATGTGGGCCTAGGGTTCTCAGGTACTCCTATTTTTTTTAAGAGAACCTAGAAATCAGGATTTTTATGTGTTAGCAAAACTTCAAAAATTTTCAAAAACTTGTGGAGGCCAAACAAAACACAGGTATCCACTGGTTTTGGTCCACAGGCTATCAGTATGCAATCTGTTGGATGTTCCCAAACTACAACACAATATAGACTTTGGCATATTATAGGCAAACATGGGTTGACTGTGAGCCTGAGCACTAACTACATACATTTCTTGGAGAAAAATGAACTCTTAACTTAGCAGAAATCCACTTAGGTAAGCTGCTGATGCACGAGCATCAAGTCCTGGGACTGCCAGCACCTGCTCTCCAGCTCCCCGCACACAGCCCCAGGTACAGCTGCGCTGCCGTCTAATTCCTACTCCATCCCCAGTCCCATCAATCCTCTCCTACTGTTATGTGTAGTTGTCTTGTCCTGTTTTCCTTTTTCCTGTTCCCCTCATTCTTCCTAATGCCAAGTTTAGACCTTTATTACCCTTTCTGCATTACTTAACCAACCTCCTTCAAGCTCTCTCTTCCCTACCCAAACTCATCCTGAATCATTAGCACGTCCCTCCAGTTCTAGGCTGCTGCACCAAGTCCAAGGTCCTTTGAATTCACGTCGGGACCCTCCACAAAGCCCAAATCAACCACTCCATCTTCTGCAAGCCATGTGTCTTGGCTTAGTGTCACCCAAGCACTTGGCTGCCACCACCTCCTCTGTGCCTATTAATGCTTTAATTTCACTCCCTTCTGAAAATGCCCTCCCTCCATACACAACACCCAAGCTCCGTTATACCTCCTCTATAAAACGAATTCTTCGCATGCCCAGGAGATCGCACTTTCCTCCACACTCATAACCCTTGTTGCCAGCATCACAATGTAGCTTTTGTTGTACCTTGTTAGTTAAAATGTTTGTCACATTCCTTGTTTATTCAAGGGGGAGCCATGCAATGCAGTACACTCCTGGTAGAAACCTACCACACAAACTCAGTATTACACGTAGCGCAGCTTTTTTTTTTCTTAATATATTTTATTGACTTTTTACAGAGAGGAAGTGAGAGGGATAGAGAGTTAGAAACATTGATGAAAGAGAAACATCGATCAGCTGCCTCCTGCACAACTCCCCACTGGGTATGTGCCCACAACCAAGGTACATGCCCTTGACCGGAATCGAACCTGGGACCCTTGAGTCCGCAGGCTGACGCTCTATCCACTGAGCCAAACCGGTTAGGGCCGTAGCGCAGTTTTTACATAAATGTACAGAATCGATGGACTCCGTACATTGGAAGCATACAGCATTTCCAAAATGTAAGAAAAAGATTAGCATATTGATTACTCATACCTAGACCATTATATGATGACAACTCATAAACAGCTATACATTCATATTCAATCCCAAATGAATAGTTACCAAATACTTCCCTGGTCCCCCCCCCCCCCCCCCCCCCCGCCCCATTAGATGTGATTCACAATAAAAAGATGTTGTCCTGGCTGGTGTTGTTTAGTGATTAGAGGTTGCCCCACGCACCAAAGAATCAGGGGCTCGATTCTGGTCAAGGGCACCTACCTGGGTTGCAGGTTCAATCCCTAGCCCCAGCTGGGGTATGTGCGGAAGGCAACCAATCGATGTATCGCTCTCACATTGATGTTTCTCTCTCTCTCTCATTCTTCCCCTTTCCCTCTCCCTCCCACCCGTCCACTCCCTCGAAAACTCAATGGAGAAAATATCCTCTGGTGACGAGTAACCAAACAAACAAACAAAAAAAGATGTCAGTACTTCATATATCATTACATCCATCTTATCAACTATGCAAGTTTTAACCACCTTGTTCAGTATATATTAGTTTTTTCCCAGTGAAGTTTAATGCTGTTTCATTAGTTTATGTAGCTGAGTAGCCCACCTTCACCCAAAAAAAAGTTTCCTAAGGATTGTTCTAGAACACTTTTAGGCAAGAGTCTTTTACATGACACAAAAATACAGATACAGCTTTGAAACTCACCATGGTCGGGGAAAAACTCCTCATCTTCATGTCATTTATCCATATTCTTGCTACCTCTTTATTAGAAGACTCCTTCTTTACTGTGCCGTTGCTTACATCAGCTGAAGGAGAGAGTCAATTTACATTTTAGAACAAAATCTCCATTTCTTTTCCTACAGTTTTTTAAAAATTCAGTAAAGTTTACCCACTTCATAAACCCAAATACACGGATCTGCTTATCACTAACTTAAAGTCAGCATAAGGATGAAAACATTCAAAGCTCTGTCCCATTTTGGAAGAATTAACCTTAGAAAACAAGTAATTTAAAAGGAAATGTGCACAAAAAAACTTGAAAGCTATTTATCAAAAAGAAAGCTTTAACCAGAACTATTTGATAGTTCATTTCAATCCGAATGCCAAGAGCCAGCATTTCTTTAAGATACTTCACTTGGGGCCCTGGCTGGGGAACTCAGAGGCTACAAAGTCATCTGGATATGCCAAGGTTGTGGATTCGATGCCCGGTCAAAGCACATACAAGAACCAACGAATGAATGCATAAATAAGTGGAACAAATTGATGTCTTTCTCTGTCCCCCTCCCCCCCACTCCCCTTTACTCTCTAAAATCCATATTTTAAAAAGATACTTCACTTGGTTCATTAAAAACAAACTACAAAATTTAGTATTCTCACCAAGACAGAATCAATCTCACTGGATCTGAAGGTGCCTACTAACTTTCAAGGCGAAAGAATTATTTCCAGAAAGGAAAAAAACAACAACTGGGGACTATCTTCCTCTTTTCCTCAGAATAAAGAAAACAATCTACAATGAACCTTTTCTTTTCTTATACCAATGCTTTACATATTTTTTAGATACAGCGACAGAAGCCCTCAATCTGAGTGTCAAAGTAGAACTGCTTGGTCAAAGAGTCCAGAGCCCCTGTAATTAGCCTACATCTCTAAGTGTTCGGGAAGCATCCTGGCACCTGGGATTGAGCTCACAGTGTGAAAATCACACCAAGGGCATGGGGAGTATTTCGGAGCCTGTCACAGGGGAGTGCAAAACAACTGGGATTAAAGTGCTGACAAACAATGCTGGACAAGATAATAAAGTTACTTTGGGTCCCAATTTGTTTCACTGTAGGAGAGCCAGTGAACAGTTCTCCAAGTGGCAGGACTGGAGCTCAAGTGAGAGATGAGAACCCCTAAGGGCTAAGGGCTCCTAACGGGGCAACAGCCAGAGATAAGAAATACAAGAAGAACATGCAACACCTTGCTCTGTGCCGTTTCATACTTTTAATGTTCTTCCCTTTCAGTATAAACATGACTCTCTCCTGCAACACAAACATGTGCTTATCTTCAGCATTCACTTACTGTTTCTTTTTCAGCCCTGGCCTGGTCTGACTTTCTCAGGCTTCCACACAAGGATGTCCTTGATTTGCAGTCTTTTGTCTTTTAAAATTACTATATTGGATGTGGGAGTGTTACTGTACAGCTCCACATCTCTCCTGTTTTCTGTTCTCTCTAAACTTTTTCCTCCCATGGCATATATCCTCTCTTTTAAATTATAAAAGCACATGCTGACTTGAAGGGTGGAGTGGAATACTTATAGAGAGCCACTCACATAAAAGCAGCAATCTCTCCTCATTAAACCCAAACACTTTAATGAAAAGCAGCTTCCACTAACTGCTGATCACTCCAAGTTTCCCAGGAGCCATTCAGATGTTGCCCTGCACCTTAACTAGGTGCCACAGTCCTGCTCTCCACAGCAGAAAAAAGAAATCAGTCCTAAGACAGTGAAAATAACTTCACAATGGGTATCTAGCTGCCAGATTATAGTTAGTTCAAGAGAATGATGCTGAGAGTAAGACTATAATGATAAGGGCACAATAGTATAGACCCAAACATAAAGATTAGATTATCTTGTATCTCTAATTGCATCTGTCCCTGGAGACACAGTTCTACATCATCTTACAAACGTTGCTCCTTCCTTTGGAATGCCTCTAGCCCTCTACTTTATAAACACAAGCACATTACAACTTCCACGCAGTCAATTTTGCCACAAAATTATACATTAGTCTACATCAGGTATTAAAACTTATCTGGCTGGTGTGACTCAGTAGTTGAGCATTGAACATGGTTCGATTTCCAATAAGGGCTAATACTATATAACATAGTGGTCAGCTCAGGATATAACTGAAATCAGAGTTAGCATCTCCATCAGTCAACATAGTTTGCTTATATATAAGACAGGGACTCAAATATTATTTAGTTCAATGGAGAAGACAAGGAAAAAATATCCCTCTTAAGAATTCACATTTTTCAGTTTCTAAAAATATACTACTAAAACTTGATATAACCAAAATTAAAAAGACAGATTAATTCTATTTTACCTTTAAAAATAAATGTACTATACTAAACACGAAGCTTGAGTACTCCACTTAAAATTATAACCTCTTCCTGCCCTACACATTTTCAGTTTCTTTCCATCACACTTATCCCTGACATATTATGTAACTTACATACTGTGAATCACCACTAGAATGCAAGCTCCATGTGGGAAGTGATTTCAACAGTTTTCATCTCAGCCATAGCCTCAAAAATCCCAGAACAGTGCTTGACACATAGGCACTCAATAAATATTTGTTCAATGAGTGAGCAACAACAAAAAAAGCCACGCCAAGGCAGAAAAACAAACTATAAAATCTACATTCTTTATGCATAAATGAATTCCTAAAAAGGTGTGATCAAACTATTATTGGGCTGTTTCCCTTTAAATCTAAACCTATTGTTAAAGTATTATGGATTAGCTGGTGGTAATGATTGTACAATCCTGTGACTATATTAAAACCCACTGAACTGTACAGTTTAAATGGGAAAATTGCCCTGGCCGGTTTGGCTCAGTGGATAGAGCGTCAGCCTGCGGACTCAAGGGTCCCAGGTTCGATTCCGGTCAAGGGCATGTACCTTGGTTGCGGGCACATAATATATTTTTTTAAAAATTAATAAATGGGAAAATTTTATGGTATGTAAATTGTATCTCAATAAAGCTGCTATAAAAAAGTATTACAGGTGTTGACTCTTCAAAGAAAACATAGTGAATTATTTTATGAGTATATGTACTTTAAAGGAAAATTTACTAAAAACACAACTGTCCATAAGTAATGAAGCCAATGACAGGCAAAATTATAAAACTGTAAAGGTCAGAGTTAAAGTATCAGACTATCAGTTTAAAGCTTGGTCCAAGGACCACCAGCAACAGCACCTCCAAAACTCCTAGAAATGCAGAAACTTGGGCCCCACCAGACCAGACCTACAGAATCTGATTCTGTTTTTGAACAAGATCCCCAGTGATTCACAGGCACATTAAGTTTGAGAAGCACTGATTTAAAGGATTGAGAAAAATGTTAACCGGTTATTCACCATATATAAAACTGAGGTCTCATGATGTCAATGAAATTACTTGGAAATTCCACACCTCATTTCAAGGTTTGATGCTGTTTTCTAAATTTTTGCTTCTCTTGAATTGTATAAATACTGCAAGTATACAGACATCAAGTTTTTACGTCTTTCATGTCCAGTTCTTTTAAGACCCAAGAAACCCTTAAAAACACACTGATATATCTTATCAAAGGCAGACAACTGACACCACTGAAAGCAGACTTACTAGCTGCTGTTGCAACTGGCTGAGCGATATTAGCTGGTGGCTTCAGTTTCATGAGTTCATTCAGACTATTATTTTTCAGAAGGTCCTTCAGTTGAACCTGGTCTTTTGAAGGTGCAGAGGTCACGGCATTTCGTACTGCTGGTACTGAGACCGAAGGGCGTGTGTTTGCAGAGGTCTGGATAAACTTTGCTAAAGTGATGGTTTGCCTATTCGTTGTTACAGGTGGTGTTTTAGTCATTACAATTGTAGATCCCAAGGTCGGAAGTTGATTTATTTGATTCAGCACAAATGTTGTTGTAGATGGAGGCTGCTGCTAGAAAAGAAAACCATACACATCACACCACTGAAAAATGCTGTCTCCTCTAATGTAGCCACTATCACTAGGCCATTTAAAACCTAAAATTGACTGTTATTCTTACCTAACCACTGGCACCTCATTTTTAATTAAATATGATTATAATAAACTACCAACTAGAACACACCATTTTGAGGGGAAAAAGGTACAGTGGTACGACATTTTATATAACTGTTGGGGAGAGCAAACACAAAATGGGACTCTCCTAAGCAAGCTGTGATGTACAGTAACCTTGTAACACAAGGAACAGAACAGAAAGAGTGTATAATCTCAGCACTGCCCCAGCTAGGCAGAGAACATTGGGTACATCACTTCACCTCTGGAGGCCCGAGCTCTCTGAGGACCATTTTCGGTTTCTAAGATTCCAGGACTCCTGTCCAATGTTTGCTATCACACAGATTCTACTAATGTTTATAACTTAACAAGATAAAACCACCAAGCAGAACTCTAAATTCTCATGTCACACAAATGGTCAGACAGGTACATTACAAATAACTGGTGATCATGTCACCAATTAAAAAAAGGTCAAGATTTGAGGATAACAGTATGTCTGTGACTACAAGCAACTAAAGTATAACTGAGATACTTTTATAAATATATGTATATTTCTACTTCCTTTTCACCTCAAACTATGTTATTTCTCCATGACCCCTGTAACAAGAATCTTCCAGATACTACTTATCGCTTTTAAATAAAACTCAACAAGTTTATCATGTTACCAAATTTTAAAGTTTGTCCAATAACTTTATACCACTAGGTGTAAGTTAATAACTGCTATGTTTAAAGCACAATTATAATCACATAAAAATTACATACCAATGGACAAAAACTTAAACAAGTAAAAATGAAGAGAATAGTGGGATAATGCAAGTTTATCTTTTACTTCATGAATTTTCTATCATTTGCAATAAATAAAATAAATTTGTTTTGTCCAAATTATCTTTTGACCAATATAAATAAATAAGAATGAAACAAATGTTTTAGAAAATAGGTGAGAGCAAAATATTGGGAAAGAAGTAGCAAAAATCAGAACTAGTGAGATAAAACTGTTTTGTATGAAAGGTTACTTCCTAACTATAGTCCTAAACTATTTCCGTAGTAATGCCAAATCTAAATAATTCTTACCCTAACATTTAACAGTGCTGGAGTAGGTACCGTCTCTGGTTCTTGTTTAACAGGAACTGCTGCTTCAGTCTCCAAACCTAGTTCTAATGTACTAAGTGGCACTGACTGGAGAGAAAACAACATTGAGAAAAAGAATGACGCAGTGAATTCCGTTTCAAGAACAAGAGATGTATTTTATTAAAACAAAAAATACTAAGCTTTACATTCAAATGGAATGTAAAATCACTAGTGCCAAGTAAAAAGGAACAATCTCTGCAAGGATACCAGCTTCACAAAATTTCACTAACACCAGAATCTCACTTTTGCTTTCAGAAAATGTGTATAGTAAAACCTCAGAAAAATGCCCTATAAAGTACATAGAGACAACTAGTAAGGAGATTAACCATCCTCCCAGAAAAATAAACAATTCATCTCTTACTTTTATATATACAACGAAGCAAAAAATAATGTTTTGATTTTCATTGCAAATGTTTTCCATCTCATGAATGAAGACTAATATTCAACATAAAAATAACCTTCACATACATGTTTAAGTTAAGACTTAATATTACCTACTTTCATAAGTAGAAATTAAAATTAAGGGGAAAAATCTCCTTTTTAGAGGCTTTGGAGGACTCTTACCTGGTGAACTGAAGGGGTAGGTGTTGGAGTTGCAAGCCCCGCATCTCCACCATCAATATCAAAGAGGTCATTCGGACTAATTCCACTCTCACTCAAAGCAGCAAGCAATAAATCTTGTCCTGGCTCCACCATCTTTAGAACAAAATATTAAGTGTTAACATAAAAAACTTAAAATGATAATTAACTCTCTTCTAAATATAAACCAGCATTTCATTTTCTACCAGATCCATTCATTCAATGTTTACGAGGAACTGGCTGCGTGTCAGGCAAAAAGGAGGAATAGTCTCTGATCCCCAAAAATTCAAATTAAGATATAAAGGACAGCAAGGTATGTCAAACACAGCAAGAATATGTCGACAAAATGCTGTGGGAAAACCAAAGGAAATGCTGAACTTTGCTGAGGGAGAGAGGTTACGAAGACGACACTGGAGCCAAGAGTCAAAGAAAATCGCCCGGTGGACAAGGATCTCCTGGACAGTGTGTGTATTCAAACCCATGGACACGTGAAAGACATTGGCACTCCTTAAGACCAGAAACAGGGAGACAAAAACTGCTACAGCAGACCAGGAGAGCCGATGTGCGCAACAGCAAGAAGTAAAGAAGCGGGTATGGATTCCAATATATTTAGGAGAGAGAATTCCTAAGACCAGGTTTAAATAAAAGCTCAAAATGGAAGGGAGAATATAAAGAAGAAGAAGAAAAAAACCACACACACAAAAAACACAGGAGTTGATGGATAATTAGAGTTAAGCCAAGAGAGAGTAATCAAAAGTTGAGCCCAGGAGACCTGAAAGATGAGTTATGTGGGTCTTAAAGGGGGAATGCCTATTTAGGAGCAAGCAGGTACATTTTATTTTATTTTATTTTATTTTATTTATTTTTATTTTTTAAAATATATTTTATTGATTTTTTACAGAGAGGAAGGGAGAGGGATAGAGAGTTAGAAACATCGATGAGAGAGAAACATCGATCAGCTGCCTCCTGCACACTCCCTACTGGGGATGTGCCCGCAACCAAGGTACATGCCCTTGACTGGAATCGAACCCTGGACCCTTGAGTCCGCAGGCCGATGCTCTATCCACTGAGCCAAACCGGTTAGGGCAGCAGGTACATTTTAGATTGGGGTTTCCCAACTGCACTCTTAGGAGTGAGAGCAAAGTATTCTACAAAAGCTTAACAGAACTTTCTTAATTTTAACTTTTCTCATTAATTTATCTGAAAGAACCAATTTATATATACAAACATACTTATGGGAAATCTGTACTTGTTTTTCTCAGAAAGCTAATTTCATTTTATATAAACATACTAATTTTCAGCTAGTCCATTTGTTCTCAGACTATGCAATAGAATTAAATGTCAGTGTTTCGTTATATCCTACAAAAAGGTATTAGCCAAGAATGCAATAAACATGACTTCCAATATATAACAACTTCTATTTTAGATGAAAGCAATATAACTAACATAGAAATCTTCTCCTAGCGCCCTAACCGGTTTGGCTCAGTGGATAGAGCGTCAGCCTGCGGACTCAAGGGTCCCGGGTTCGATTCTGGTCAAGGGCATGTACCTTGGTTGCGGGCACATACCCAGTAGGGGGCGTGCAGGAGGCAGAAGATTGATGTTTCTCTCTCATCAATGTTTCTAACTCTCTATCCCTCTTCTCCCTTCCTCTCTGTAAAAAATCAATAAAATATATTTTTTTAAAAAAGAAATCTTCTCCTAGGTAGGTCTATGCCACACAAGCATGTTATCACTTAGAAAGAAGCTCTAATGAACCCATGAATGAATTTAAGTTAGAAAACCACAGACATCCAGAATTGAAACTAAGGGCAGACTCACAGCTTAAAGGATGGGAGGAAGGACAGAGTCCAAAGGAGACTTCCCAAAATTCTTCAGAAAAAGGAAAAGAAGCCTAAGGAAGAAAACAATTTGAGTAGGAGGAAGGAAGGGAAGGGAACTGACAGTGACTAAGCACCTTTTACAAGCCTAACACAGTGCTAGACTCTCCATATACATCACAAGCCCACAACCCTAAGCAAGATGAAACTGAGGCCGGCTCAGAAAGCTTAAATTCCCTGGTCAAGATCACCCATTCACATCTATATCTTCAAAGCCCATTTATTCTCTTTTCAATGAGTAGATCAAAAAGTCAATGTTGGTAACCCTGAAAGTTTCAACACTTAACTTAAAATTGGAAGGGGATGGAGTATTAGGCAGCAAGATGCACGGTACAGATATGTACTTTAAATGCTTTAAAAACATTTTCAATCCATAAATTACCTCATTAGGACCTGTGGGAATAGGGGGTGATCTTGGCCCACTTACTATGGCTAATCTTGACCTAAATTAATAGAATTTGAGACTATCAAAATGCCATATTTTAAAAGTAATTACTAGAAATAGTTTATGTACATTAGAAACAAAAGCACACTGTTTTAAGACATTGACTCCTAAACTACAGACCACAGAACCCTTGGAGGTCCCAGGGCCCTTTAATCCATCAGTTTTGCACCAAGTCTGGTTGGTCTACTTATACTCAAGAGTACAGAAATGTCATTAACTCATGAAACAAAAACAGAATCACCAAAAAGTGTTACTGAATTCGAGAGCTTTTTGAAATATCGTTTCTGAACAATGAGCATAAAAAGTACAAAAATATGCCCAGCTGGTGTTGCTCAGTGGTTGAGTGTCAACCTATGAACCAGGAAGTCACAGTTGGATTCCTGGTCAGGGCATATGCCCAGGTTTTGGTTGCATCCCCAGTAGGGGCGTACAGGAGGCAGCGACCAATGATTCTCTCATCATTGATGTTTCTCTCTCTCCCTTCTTCTCTGAAATCAATAAAAAAAAATTTTTTTAAAGTACAAAAATATTATCATGGAAGGGAGGAATTTTGGAGAGAAACTTGATATTTAGACAAGAAATGATGGCAGCAGTTCAGTGACCTACTCAAAATTCATTCATAGGAATCACAATTTGAGACCTCTGATTTGAGTAGTGACCTAGTATTGACAATGTCTGTAAAAGATATTTTTTCTTAGGAGCTATTAATAAAAGACATTTTAATTTTATATACATTTTACACACAAACAAATCTAGGGATACTTTCTCTCTTAGCCAATTAAATACAAATTCTCTACTTGTACTTTTTTGCAGTGAGGAGGAAAAGGGATAGAGGGAACATCTGTGCCATTCTCTAACTCCATTAGCCAAACCCCTTAATATTTAATCATAGTCCTATTCTGAAATTATTACAGACTCATGGAATTTCAGTGCTCAGCTGAGAGAGCCCTTAAAAGGCTATATGATCCAATCTTCTCCTCCTCGATTTATAATAAGTAGGATTTATTCCTGAGAGGGAAAACATTTTCACTTTGAACGGTCTAAATACAATATAAATGCAAATACTGTTAGGTGTAAGAGAACTGTGTTACATTGTGTCTACTAAGGATCACATAGACCTCAGATGACAAGCAACATGTAGCAATCTAACAAACCCCAAAGTTACTAACAGCAGTGATTCTCTCTCAGACAATCGACAACAAAATGGCTCCATTTTTATCGTAAATACATTTGAAAGTAATCACCTAGTTCAAAATAGTACACTATAAAAGCGACAATGATAAATAAGAAACAAGGACACGGTAGTAGAGAGAAACTAAGAGCCACCCTTGGCAGGAAGAGAATCCTGAGGAAACAATAGCCAATCGGAAGAATGAAAGGATACAGTTCCCACAGAGAATACCAACACTGAAACCTATCAAGGAGGACAAGGTTTCTCTTGTTGAGACCTAAAACAGATCTCTACAGCTTACAGCTCATGCTAGTTACCAGGGATGTGTCTGCAGCGGCACACAACCGAAGTTGAAAAGACCATGGAGTCAAGCAGAATATCAAGGTTCAAATACTGGCTACATCACCCACTTAGTAAGTATAATATGGTCAAGTAATACAGTATGACTCAGTTTCCTCATCTTCAAATAGGAATAAAATAGAACTTGCCTACTAGGAATTGCTGTACTACCTGAAACAAAAGTTAGCTACTATCATTTTGATAAACATTAGTATCTTGTCCAAAAAACTTTTTTTTCCTATATCACTGATGCAACACTTTATTTCCCAGAATACAAACTATTTGTTGGAAACCTATCCAATAATTAACTTCCAAATTAGTTCTATAAAATACCAGTTCCCTTTTTACCGAAAGTGTCATGTATCCAGTTAATCAGAGTCTCAGGACACTGATATCTTTAAGTGTGCACAGAAAATATCACTTAGCAAGTTATCTTTGCCAGAACTAATGACAAAAAGGTTTATTTCTCCTTATTTAATAGTACTAAGCATGTCTGATTTTTGACTCAGCTTCAATTTTGCTTTCATGCAGCCCAGATGTGTGACTGACATACAGTTTAAGAATTTTGCCCTGTCCGGTGTGTTCAGTGGTTAGAGCATAAGCCCACGAACTGAAGGGTCTCAGGTTTAATTCCTGGTCAAAGGCACATACCTGGGTTGCAGGTTCCATCCCCAACCCCAGTCGGGCACCTGTGGGAGGCAACCAATTGATGTGTCCCTCTCCCTTCCCTTCCTCTCTCTCTCTGAAAATCAATGGAAAAAGTATCCTCGGATATTAAAAAAAATTTTTTTAAGGATAATGAGCCACTTAGAATTTAGATACAGTCTATCAACAAGTATTTATTTTTTTAACATATTTTTATTGATTTCAGAGATGAAGGGAGAGGGAGAGACAGAAACATCAACGATGAGAATCATTGATCAGCCGCCTCCTGCAGGCCCCTACTGGGGACCGAGCCCACCACCCGGGAATGTTCCCTGACTGAGAATTGAACTGAGGACCCTTCAGTCCACAGGCGGACTGTCTATACACTGAGCCAAACTGGCTAGCTAGGACAACAAGTATTTATTAAGTGTCTATTGAGTGGTTCATTAAGAATACAAGGAGCCCGAGCAGTGTGGCTCAGTGGATAGAGTGTCCGCCTACAGACTGAAGGGTCCCGGGTTCGATCCCGGTCAAGGGCATGTACCTTGGTTGCCGGCACATCCCCAGTAGGGAGTGTGCAGGAGGCAGCTGATCGATGTTTCTCTCTCATCGATGTTTCTAACTCTCTATCCCTCTCCCTTCCTCTCTGTAAAAAATCATTAAAAATATATTTTTTTAAAAAAAAGAATACAAGGAGAGCCCTAACCGGTTTGGCTCAGTGGATGGAGCGTCGGCCAGCGGAATGAAGGGTCCCAGGTTCGATTCCGGTCAAGGGCACACCCCCGGATGGCAGGCTCGGTTCCCAGTAAGGGGTGTGCAGGAGGCAGCCGATCAATGATTCTCTCATTAATGATGTTTCTATTTCTCCCCTCTTTCTTCCTCTCCGAAATAAATAAAAATATATCTTAAAAAAATAACCCAAGGAGAAAAATGGTCAGTATAAAGAGAGTTTTCTTTACCTAATAAGATATTACTTGTAAAAAAAAAAAAAAAAAAAAAAAAAGATATTACTTGTATTTTTTTAAACACCTAATTCTCAAGGGAGCAACTGCTCAGTTGAAGTGCCCTTCTCCCCATTCTCTTTGCAAAACCTACGGGAAGAAAGGATCACAAAGGAATCTGTAGATTATAAACAAAGTTTCGAGCCCTGGCTGGGTAGTTCAGTTGGTTAGAGCTTCATCTAGATACGCCAAGGTTTTGGGTTTGATCCCTGGTCAGGGCACATATAAGAAACAACCAATGAATGAATCAATAAATGGAACAAATTGACGTTTCTCTCTCTCTCTCCATTCCTCCCCCTTTCCTCTCTCTCTGGAAAAAAAGAAAGAAAAACAAAGTTTCAAAAATATTCACAAGAGCCCTAACCGGTTTGGCTCAGTGGATAGAGCGTCAGCCTGCGGATTGAAGGGTCCCAGGTTCAATTCTAGTCAAGGGTATGTACCTTGGTTGCGGGGACATCCCCAGTAGGGGGTGTGCAGGAGGCAGCTGATTGATGTTTCTCTCTCATCGATGTTTCTAACTCTCTATCCCTCTCCCTTTCTCTCTGTAAAAAATCAATAAAATATATTTTAAAAAATATTCACAAGAGAAAAAAATGCTTCACAAAAGAAACCCAAGAATCAGGTGAGGCCCTAGCCTGTCTGCTCAGTGGTTAGAGCATCTGCTCCCAGGTTAGGTTCTGGTCAAGGACATATACCTTGGTCGCAGGCTTGATCCTCAGCCCTGGTGAAAGTGCGTTCAGGAGGCAACTAATTGATGCGTCTGATATTGATGTTTCTTTCTCTCTCTCTCTCTCTCTCTCTCTCTCTCTCTCTCCTCCCCGCCCCCTTCCATTCTCTCTTAAAAAAAATCAATGGGAAAATATCCTGTGAAGATTAAAAAAAAGGGGGGAGGGATCAAATGCAGAAATGAAATAACTTTCTTGATCACCATCATATTCACATGGCTAGCTTTATTTTTAGTATATGGTTGGATTTTTTTTCTTTTAACTTTCAAGATAGTCACTGAGTAAATGCTACCCATTATCCCCTTGCCACAAATGAGAAACTGAGGCCTAGAGAGGAAGTGTAGCAAGGTAACAACAAAACCAGAGTGGAGAATTACAAACCCAGGAGGTCTCACACCACATACCTCCAAGATTCTGTACTCTTAACCTTATTCCAGTATTTTTCAATCTGCTGGCCAAAACACAGTGTGTTGTCCAATCAACTCAGTGCACCATAACCAGTATTTTTAAACATCTCAGCATAGAACAGAAAATTAGAAAACATTACTTCATAAGATGAGTTTTTCAGTTCTATGTGTCTAAATGCACTAGGTCACAATGTAAAATGTATTTCTTACTGTGGTATGCAGT